ATCTGTACACCTAAAGAAACTAATCAAGAAGGAGAACTCTTGCTAAAATGTTCAATTCCTATCCAGAAAGGCAAAGAGGATGGACATCAGAAGAAGGAGAAAAGAGGGAACAAGTCAGGAGCCTGACACAGAGGACCTCTGAAAGGCTCTGCCCTGCAGACTATCAATGCAGATGCTGAGACTTATGGGCAACCTTTGGGCAGAGTGCAGGGAATCTAAGGAAAGACGTGGGAAACAGTAAAATCTGGAGAGGACAGGAACTCCACAAGGAAAACAACAGAACCAAAAAATCTGTGCTCAGGGGTCTTTCCTGAGACTGATACTCCAAACAAGGACTATGCATGGAGATAACCTAAGACCCCTGCACAGATGTAGCCCATGGCAGTTCAGTATCCAAGTGGGTTCCATTGTAATAGGAACAGGGACTGTCTCTGACATGAACTGATTGGCCTGATCTTTAATTAGCTCCCCCTGAGGAGGAAGCAGCATTACCATGCCGCAGAAGAAGACAATGCAGCCACTCCTGATGAGATCTAATTTACGAGGATCAGAAGGAAGGAAAAGAAGTCTTCCCCTATCAGTGGACTCGGGGAGAGGCATGCATGCAGAGGGTGGAGAAAGGGAGGGATTGGGACGAGAGGAAGGAGGGAACCACAGGGGGGATACAAAGTGAATAATGTGTAATTAATAAAGAATAAAAAAAGTGAAACTAGCGTTAACCACAATAAAGCTTTACTCTTTTATCACTTAGAGATTGCCTTCAAATGAGAGACAGATATGAATCCCAACTCTGACTTATTGGTTGGAAATTTCTGAATAAGAAGGCATCTTAAAGGCTTATGTTTTGAGCTTTCAAGTTGCAAAAGTGGAAGTTAGCGAACTTTTATCAATCTTTGGGTTTACTTTAAGGGTTAAAGAAAATAGCCTACCTAGTCCAGGTAAGCATTTAACAGATGATAGGTGGCATTATTGGTGTATGCTTCCCTCTATCTTACAAGCAAATGTGTAGCCAGTGTCCTTTCTGTGAAAGAACTTGGAAATAGGAATTCATCTACACTTCGAGAAATATTGTTGCTATGTTATAGGTAGTGACAACATGACAAAGAAAATAATGTTAAATCTGACAAGTGGCAGAGCCAAGATTTAAACAATGGGAGCTGTGATCTAGCAGCCATAACCCCATTACTAGACAGGCCGCTTTCCCCTGGCAAGCTGCTGAAGTGTAGTACTTGGGGAAAATGGGAGATACTTTGCCTTTCTTTACATCAAATAGAAGTGCCATTCTTTGAACTCAAAAACTAGGTTGAGCAAAAGCAGGACAAAGTCCTTGGTAAAGCTGGTTGTCAAGAGCATAATTTGGGATTGAGGGTTGGCTGAGGAATAGTGGCTGGAGAGAACAGGAAACAGGAAAAGCCTTCCTGGGGTGAGCAGAGAGGAGACCTCCCTCCCTCCAGACCACTCAGCATTGCTCAGAGTTGAGCGTATAGACCTTCGATGGCAGAACCTTCTTTCTCTTTGATGAGGAGGGACCTTGCTTGGATAACTAATGAATATTGCATTTCTCTTTTCCACCTTGGATGCCAAAGGGAGAAACAACGTTCTGTAGAAACCTAGGGGATCTCAGGTTTGGGCTCCTTTGGTCAAGGTTTCTCATACTTAACCAAATCTACATCTCATTGCAGACCAGTGTAGAGGCAGAGAATATCTCTGCTTCAAATATTATGGGTATCAAGACAGAGTTCTGATAACAAATGCTGTGTGCCAGGAATCATAATTATTCCTTTTTTAGGGGAGGGGAAAGAATATTATCAAAATACACTATATTTAGCATGTTTTTAACAGACACTTTGCTATATCCATTGATTAGTGTGTCCCAGCCCTCATCAGGAAAACTCCTTGCACTAGATGCTAATTAACTCATAGGCCTACAACTGGGCCATATGCAGAGTGGAGACTTTGGAGAACTCATATCTAAATGGGATGTATTTACCAATTCTTTCCCCTCAAGGCTCAGGGATAGATGCCAAAAAAACAGGGAGAAAGAAACAGATGGTGCTAGCTCCAACAAGACAGCATCTTCCAGGCATAACAGGATGGATGCCTATGTGAACTCACAGAGACGGGCAGTATGCACAAGACCACACAAGTTTAAGCCAGACAAAACCCCAGCACTGAGAAGGGGAAGCGAACACAAAGTTCTACCCTTATCTAAGAAGGGGTTTGCAACTGATGCTTGCTGGGAAAGGAAACTCAGTTTTCCTTGGTGAAATGTCACGGGGTATATCAACCATATTCCAGGAAAGGCAGTATGCCCAGGACTCACTGGCCAACACAAAGCAAACTCAACATTTTCTCCTGAGTTTTTTTTTTTTTTTTGCTTGTTTGTTTTGTGGTTGTATTTTTTTTTTTTTTGTGGGGGGAGGGTCTGGGAGTTGGAGGAGGAGAAAGAATGAGACTAAAATATATGCTTCTGTTTATTTTTGTCTTATTCTGCTTTATTTTTATTTTATTTTATTTTTGGATGACTGGTGATTCTTTTTTTAAGGAGAAAGAAAGGTAGGAGGGGAGGTAAGAAGGATGTGGAGGGGAATTGAGGTAGGACAAACTTATCTGAGTATATTGTATGAAGATAAATTTTTTTTAATAAAAAAGGATGGTAGAATAAAAAAGAAGAATACATATGTAAATTTATTTTATTTTTGTAAAATTTTTAATAAAAAATATATATGCATATAAAACTGCACAAGGGTATCTTGGCATAGAGTGTCAAAGACATTCATTTTTTTTTTATCATATTTAAGCAAAGCTCATTGAGCATTATTATCAAAACAACAGAAGGAGGAAAAAAGGTTTATCCAATGAATTTGGACAAAGCAGCATCAGTTTATTCACTGATGCTGATTTACCTCCGGACGCTTTGCCTAAATACATTTCTGAATGAAGGTACCAGCTTGACTCTTCAGCTTTGCTCTGCAAGAGGAAGCTAAACACTGGATTTCACATGTGCTGTCAGTCAACTACACAATGGCCTGTTTGGGGGCCCACAGACACTAGTGTTTGTCACCTCAGGCCAACTTCTTTGGTCTCTTGCTTTCCAGCTAAGGTGGCTTATTATGTGCTGCACACACGGGCTCAGGAAGAAGCTCTCCTCAGCCAAATCTGTAATTACAGTCTTTCGAGAAAGCCCCGGGATTCTGGCAATCAGTAAATTCTACATGACAAGAATTATTAAGTGTTTAGGATGCAGCCAATACATTTTTTTTTTTTGTAAACAAATTTAACGGATCCATCACAATACCCCATTCAGCCGTATTTTGACAACACTGTAATTTATATCAGTCTAGGTTGGTGGTGAACAGGTCAGGCCAAGTACATGCTTACGACGGCTCCTTCCCAAGAACAGCAGGGAGGATATTCTGACTTGCCACTGATGTGTACAGCTGTGTCAGTGCACAGTCCATAAAGTACTTGTGTTAACTGTTAGAGCCACCATCATTGCATGCGCCCTTCACAGTCTCTCTCCACTGCCCCAACCTTTTCGTCCTTTGTCTCCCATTTGATAGGAAGTCTAGGGACCATGATTTCCATTTCTTTACTTTTAGCCCACACACCTATCAGAACATCCTGCATAGAACTAAAAATTAAATGATCCCAACTGTGATGATGTGTTGAAGAAACTGTCTTGGGAAGATTATCATGTGTTTGGTTCACAGGAGTATTCTGCTTTCAAGTAAGTATATTCAGAGAGGGTAATTTTATTCATGCAAAATTTAAACTTCTTCCTTAGATAATGTTTTCAGAGCATCGTTATAAGCTACATAAGAAATCTTTATTCACAACAAAACGCCTTCTAACCCAAGTGTTTTGTCATAAATATGAGTACATGACTTACTTATTCATAAACTCTCATTTCAGGTATTTGTCTATAATGTTCACCAGCACCAAATATTTCCTGCTTCCCTGAAGGTACATCCTCTGAAAATTCTGGTCATTGTTTTAGGAAGCCTGTGGCTTCTCAAGAAATTGCACAGGGGCCAGTGGGATGTCTCAGTGGGTAAAGACATTTGCCTGATGACTGGCTTTGGTCCCTGAAACCTACACAGTGGGAGGAGAGAACTGATGATGTTCACAGCTGCTCTTTGAACCCCAAAAGTGTGTCACAGCACATGTGTCCACACACAAAATAAAGATGTGCATTAATTTTTTTAAAAGAAACCATATATGACAAACTCAGATTTTCCTTAAATTTCTGATGTGTTCATTCCTAAAGGTCATTTATTGTCGGGTTATTCCTTAGGTCATAACTGAAATGCACGCAGAAAATTAGAACGAGGCCTTTGCAGACACCAAAGAGCTTGAATTTTTCTAGTCACTTTTAGGCACAGCAAGGCTTGACAGACCCAGACTCCACAGTGTCATAGAACATTAAAACCTGTTTTATTTCTTCCTTGCTCATAACCTTCAAGCCCTGTGATTTCTAATTATACCCAGAGATTTAGATCAAGTTAATTTGGGGAAAGTGCAAAGCTAATTTGAATTCATGAACTCCTAACAGATATCTCAAACACAAGGTGAGGAGATAATGATTTGAATGGTTTTGGAATCAAGTGCATTCTTTATTTTTCCACTACAGTAACACTCCTTTGAGATTATCTAACTACAACAATGAGTTTCCAAGTGTTTTACAGACTGGCTTTGGAAGGGGCTATTGCGTGTGTCTTCAGTTTACAATAGTTTAACAATGGGACAATCACTATTCCAAAAGTGTATCAATTAGCTGTCATGAGCCTGTATCACTGAGATTCACCTTATCCCTAGTCCATAGCTGCTCACTCTGCAAGGGAGGGTAAGATCCTATAAGGATGGAAACAGGAAATGCAGGAAGCGAGGCAGTCATGATGCACGCTGTAGGCAATGTTAAGCTAAGCCATTTTGGAAGAATGAGTAAGGGGCTGATAAAGCAGGGATAATGTCACAGTCTCTTCAACTCATGAGCTTACCTCACTCCAGTTGCCTACTGTCCAGTCTGATGGACACAGAATATCTCTGTTACAGGAAACCAGTGCCTTGGGCTTCAGCAGGTGCTGGCAGTCTGCGGCTGGGAGAGCCTGCTCATCAGAGCCCACGGTTTGGAGGCACAGCACTGTTCTCTTTTTTTCTCCATAGGGCCCGCATGTCATTGAACAAGCTTCCCACTCCCCTGCCCACCACCTGCAGGCAGACACAGGCAGGAGAGAAGATCAGTAAAAATAAACGTACATTCATTTCCTGGGACGGGAAGCGAGCAAGCATGTATTACAGAGCTGGGAAGTTCTCAGAGGTGACACAGACTTTATGAATATTTTCTACAGATAGAGCCAGTATGACTTGTTCAGTTATAAACTCCAGAGCCCAGCAGAGACCCTGGCATATGCAGTTTCTACAAAAACTATATTTGGGGGCTGAAAAGATGGCTCAGAGTTTTAGAGCACTTGTTGAATTGCTGGGTTCAATTCCCAGCACCTAGTTCACTGGTATCTGTAAGGCCAGTTCTAGAGGATCCAATGCCCTACTGACCTCCAAGAACATGAGGCACACAAGAGCTGTACATACACACTGGCAGGCAAAACATTTATAGACATAGAATTTATATTTTACTTTAATAAAATGATGTCTTTTAAGGGAAAAAATAAGCTTCCCTTTTAAGTCAAGAATTTTGAGGTTCAAGGTTCCTCTGTGCTACTTCAACCAAGTTTAAGCTTCACTTTCTCATATGTTTGCTGAGGGTTGTGACATACGAATCAAATGAAACATATGAATTAAACAAAATACCAATTCATGCAAAGTGAGGAGCACAGAGCACCCCCACCCCCAGATCCTAATCACTTGTGGCTTATTGGTATTTGACTGACTTGAAGGTATGACATCTTAGTATTCAATCATTCTCTAGATCTCCTGGCTCTTAACCTAATGTTTTTCTATACCACTATGAAGCAGATATAAATATTCCCCTTTTACTGACTTAGGCAATGTCGAATCCAGCTCATTGACTTTATTTTGCCTACATATCTTCTGCAACATGCTTGTGCACAGTTTCACCTACTCGTTTGATAAAGGAAAAAAATAACTTAAATATGATAATTTCTTCCATCTCAGAAGTTTCTGAGAAGTTGAGCAGTTGGATAAATCAATGTTTTGCTTTCTTTCTGAGGACAAGTTAATGGGTAATCTCTTTGCTTATGAGTGGTTACTTAAACATTCTGGGATGGGCCAATAGCTACAATGGAGAGCTTTGGAAAATGGCAGGAATCCCTATATCACTCTTGTTTTTCCCTTCTCCCTCATTATGCAAAGTTTCCCCAGCACAGAAAACAGAGCTAGCCTCTTCTTCCAGTGTAGTTAGTTACCCATAATTGCCTCGTGGACACTCAATTCTTCCATATAAGCTCCCATACAGTAATAGAGTAGGACATTTTCTATTTTCACAGGAAAATAGCATGTGATGGAAAGCTCTCAAATCTTGACCTGGAGAAGGCCTCCTGGCCTTGAAATAATATCCAATTTTGGTAATTGGAAAGATGACAAAGTTTTGTTCTATTCTTTTCACTCACTACACTGTATATTTGTGCGGCTAGAACTCTTTTCATCCTCATGCTTTTAATCTCAAGTTAAAATTCTTAGAAGTGAGCTCTTTCTCAATTCTATTATTTTCTCCAGTTAGCAAGAAATTAAGATCACTGATTTATTCTTTGGTGTTTAATTCTGGTTGCCTTGTACGAATAAAGAGCTAATACTTGACAGTGTGATGTGAAAGCAAAACAATGCCCAGTGTATTAATCTAATTACTTTGCCCCACCTCTGACATTTCCAAAGGAGGCCAGGCAGACTGCTGAATACATAAAATGTCATTCTGGAAAGCCCCTAATCTGAGCTGACTGAAGGCCTAATTTATCTAATTACTTACTCTGGGGCTTTCAGTTGTGTTATAACAAAGTGATAATGGTCCTTCTTGTTTTCCCTTTCTGGAGTTTCTTCCATAGTCCTTACGTGCTAGTCCTGTGATTACAACGTGTTGCCTATGAACCTGGGGAGCCGACTCAGTGGTTAAGATCTCTGGTTGCTCTTCCAGAGGACCCAGGTTCAATTCCCAGCACCCACACGGCAGCTCACAGCTCTCTGTAAATCCAGTCACAGAGGATCTGACACTCTTAGACAGGATTGAATGCAAGCAAAACACCAAAATATTTTTTGTCTAAAGTTTGCTACACCTACACCAGTGTCGCCATAGTAGCATAAGCTACAGGGCGGGGGATATGCTTTCTCTGGAAATTCGCCCCCTGGAAGGTCCCTGGCAAACTCATCCCACTTGGAAAAGAGACGTGTTCTGAGATTTCTATGCTTTTTCAATTGTGGCTCTGGGGCTGGAATAATGAATTCTTTGATCTTTCTCTGTGACACCTGAAACAGCACAACTAATTTTATAAAGAAATTTATCATTAGTAGATTGTTAAAGGCTTTAATAAAAATAATAAGTTTAAAGAAAGGTAATGAATTAGATTTAGTATTAATAAGCATTAAGAATAGTGAAAAAATAATAGGCTCCTTCTTAAGAAATAATAGCATGAGAGGTGCAGCTGGCGGGAGTTTCCCCTCCCTTCAGTACCTTGTTCCTGGGGAAGATCATAAATCTTGGGCTGGACATATGGGAGGATGGTTAACAAAGGTGTAGTTAGATTTTGATATAGAGAGGGACTTTGGCAGGCATCTGACTTAGCTCCTGACTTTCCTCTTCACTGGTTAGCAATAATGAAACTGCATTTGAGGTTTCTTTTTCTTTGTTTGCTCTGATCAAAAAAGTTTTTAGGCCAAGATTTCTTGTGGGCACTGCTTTATGTTTGACTGCATTTTGAGTTAAAATGTAAACTTTGTATTCCTGGTAAAAAGGCTGAATGTTCTGGGAAGTAGGCTAATTTTAAGGTGCCTTTTGTATAAAAATACTAGCTTGATTTCAGTAAAGTTGCAGCAGAGTCAAAACCATCAAGGTGTCTCTGTCTGTCAATTCATCGCCGAAACTGTGTCTTCCTATCCAAAGCCTTGTTCTACCGCGGATGATGGGAGCCCGACTGGGCCGGTCCGTGGCAAAAGTTCATGCATTAGAAACTTCTCAGTGCAACAGTGTTGGGAGGTGTGGCCTAATGGGAGTGTTTAGTACATGAGCACAGAGCCCTTCTGAACGGACTAATGCTACTATAAACCGCTGCCCGTGGGAGTAGGCTTGCTCTCCTTAACTCTTCTGCTGTGTGGGGATACATTTCACCTCTTTTCCTCTTTCAACTCTCTTGTTCTTCAGTTGTGTGGAGATAAAACAGGAAGGGCCTCATCAGTGCTGGTGCCTAGATCCTAGAATTCCAATTTATAAAACACAAGGAATATAATTCTGTTCTTTATAAACTACCCGGTCTATGGTAGTCTGTGATAGCAGGGCAAGCTAGACTAATACATCTTGTCAACTTAAAATGAGGCTCAGCTACTTTTCATCTTTTTTGCCAAGGTATGTCTTCCAGTCTCAAGTATCTAACACTGGTTTTCTTTTTTCTTTAATTTTGTTTGTTTGTTTATTACAATTTAGTCACTTTGTATCCCAGGTGTAGCCCCCTCCATTTCCTCCCAATCCCACTCCCTTCCTTCTTCTCCCCCTCTGCTCCTTCCCTAGTCCACACCAACAAATCAAGTAATCCAATAAAAAAATGGGGCACAGAGCTAAACAGAGAATTCTCAACAGAGGAATATCGAATGTCAGAGTAACAATTAAAGAAGTGCTTAATGCCCTAGTCATACAGGAAAGGCAAGTCAAAATGACCCTGAGATACCACCTCACACCCATCAGAATGGCTAAGATGAAAACAAACAAACAAACAAACAAACAAACAAAAACCTCAAGTGACAACACATGCTGGAAAGGTTGTGGAGAAAGAAGAACCCTCCTCAATTGCTGGTGGGAATATAAACTTGTGCAACTACTTTGGAAATCAATCTGGTGCTTTCTTAGACAATTAAGAATAGTGATACCTCAAGATCCAGCTATACCACTCCTGGGCATATATTCAAAAGATGCTAAACCATACAACAAGGACATTTGCTCAGCTATGTTCATAGCAGCATTATTCATAAAAGGCAGAATCTAGAAACAACCTAGATGTCCCTCAACTGAAGAATGGATGCAGAAATTGTGGTACATTGACACAATGGAATACTACTCAGCAATTAAAAACAAGGAAATCATGAAGTTTTCAGGCAAATAGTGGGAACTAGAAAAGATCATCCTGAGTGACATAACCCAGAAGCAGAAAGACACATATGATATATACTCACTTATAAGTGGATATTTGCCATATAATACAAGATAAACATACTAAAATCTATAGTCCTAAAGAAGCTAAACAACAAAGAGGACCCTAGGGAAGAGGCTGAAACCTCACTCAGAAGGGAAAACAGAGTAAGACATCACAAGTTGGAGAAGACAAGGAACAGGACAGGAACCTTCCACAGAGTGCCTCTGACTCTATACATCGTCGAAGGAGATACTTGAGACTCATAGCCAAAGTTTGGGCAGAGTGCAGGAAACCTTATGGAAGAAGAGGAAGACAGAAAGACCTGAAGGGGATAGGAACTCCACAAAGAGACCAACAGCCAAAAATTCTGGGCCAGGGGCGAAGGGGTGCTGCAGAGACCGATACTCCAACAAAGGACCATGCATGGAGAAGACCTATACCCCCTGTTCAGAGGAAGCCCATAGGCTGCTCCGTTTCCAAGTAGCTTCCTTATTAAGGGGACCATATGCTGTCTCTGACATGATTTCAGTGGCAGGCTCTTTGATCACCTACCCCTGGGGCATGGAGCCTTGCCAGCCTGCAGAGGAAGATGATGCAGCCAGACTTGACAATACTTGATTGGCTAGGATCAGATGAAAGGGTAGTAGGTCTACCACTGGCTTGCGGTCCTTTCAAGCAGGTTACTTCTTGTTAGCTAGACACAACTATAGTCACCTGGGAAGAGGGAAACCCTACCAGATTGTCCTGTAAGCAAGCGTGTGTGTGTGTGTGGGGGGGCATTGATTAATGATTGATGTGTGACGGCCCAGAATACAACTCCCCCCGGAACCCTGGACAAGGGTCCTGAGTTGTGTAATAAAGCAGGATGAGGAAACCGTGGTAAAGAATCCAGTCAGTAGCATTCCTCCATGGTCTCTGCTTCAGTTCCTGCATCTAGGTTTCTACCTCAGCTTTCTATATGATGCATTGTGGTGTGAAAGTGTAAAATGAAACACACCATTTCCTTCTCAGTGACACAGATAAGGACAAGATTCTGCTTGACTAAATGCTGCCTTGTGACATCTATTTTTAACAGAGAAGTCTGAAAAGTCAATTTAAGAATGCCCACCCAAGTAAATGATTATCCTGGATATATGATATCTTTGGCCTCCATTGTCCCATGGGTGATGTCTGAATACCCTGGCATCTTGAGAAAGGATACTGCCATGTTAGATTAGTCGCATATTTTCTTTACTCCTATTTTTTCTCTTAATATCTACCCACCCACCCACTGACCCTTACCCAATACTCAAATATAGACTCCTACGTGTCCATGCTATATATGGTGTTGAGGCCAATATTTTCTCCACAGTAAATTTCTATTGTGATGGTCCCTATGCTCATGATGTTGTTGAATAAAGTGTGTTTTACTTTAACAAATATGACTAATGTTTTCTTTCATTATACCCAACCACACTACTACTCAATTGAGTATGCATTGTGTATAGTGTTCTTTAATCACTGAATGTTATTTGATCTCTTACACATTATAATATAAAATATATATTACAGATTATTACTGTATCACTATTTGGGGAGCTTTAAAAAAGCTGTTGATATCTATATATGACTAGACTCAAAATCTCTTGTAGGGAGGGCCAAAATATCCATGCCTTGTAAAAGCTGCCTAGTGAATTATTTTAAATGAGGATTGAAAACTACTGGTGTTCTTGATGCCAAATACATGGATATAACTTTTTATCTCTAAATTTTACCTAAGCAATAGACTTTATTGTTTTAGGATGGGCCATAATTAATAAAGAAGAGCATGGCTATGTGTGTGTGTGTGTGTGTGTGTGTGTGTGTGTGTGTGAGAGAGAGAGAGAGAGAGAGAGAGAGTTGCTATGAGTCAGGTCACATTACTCTCTCACCTTCATTACTCAGACAGCTGAGACCAGAAATGCTACAGAATTACCTTTAATGCATATGAAAGTTTTGCACAACAAAGAGTAATCCAGCCTAAACTCAAGTGCTGAAATAGGGAAACCTTGATTGAAGTCTCATGCTGTTCTTTCATACAGCGAAACCTACACACAGCTGCTGGGGTTGAATGAATAGCTGTGATGTTTATTGAATACTTTGGATGTGCTCATAACTGTAACCTTGCAGAACTTTGTTTTGCTGAAAAACAGAGTCAGAATGAAGTCAGCTAGGCAGAAGGAACACAAATGACTGCTTTCTACAGTCAATATTCCAAAGAAGAGTTTCTTTCTTGGCAGCGCTGGGCCACAAAGCCATTGTTAGAACAAGCCTTATACTTGTTCTAAGGTTTAGATAATTCAACACTTTTATCAGATCTTTAAAAGCAAAATCTGTCTCAGATACTCCTCTGGGGAAGATAAACTAATGTTGAAATTTGATTTAAAAACCAAAATATTACTGAAGAAGAACTGTCTTGAGAAAATAAAAGATGAGGGAGAGAGAGAGAGAGAGAGAGAGAGAGAGAGAGAGAGGAGATAATCTTTTGGAGAGAGAAATAACAGATCTGGATGATGGATGTGAGCTTTTCAGACATCACAGAAGTCAGGTGCCCAAGGAAGATGCATTAGAACTTCTAATCAAGGAACTAACCGCTGTGCTGAATTTGTAAAAGTACATACTACCAACCAAGCAACCTTTGTTTATTATTTTTATTTTTAAAGAAACTTAATACATTTATTTAAGAAAAAGCCCTTTAAGCCCTTTGTGACTTTGAGCACACAAAACTTAGTTTTTATAGTTAGTCTTTTCTGTTTGCTCATCGAATTGTTCCATTTTGTTGATATCTTTTCTTTGACTTACTTTCTTTCCTTCCTTTTCTTTTTCAAGGGAGGGTAAGCCTTGCTATGTAGCCCAAACAACCTCATTCTCTTCCTACTTCTACCTCCTGACTCTTGGGATTACAGGTGTGTGCTACCATGCCTGGCCCATATGTGACTTTGTTACCTTTGCTAAAGATTTTAATCTATGTAGTTAAATAAACAGATATAACTACAAGAAAAGGATTGTATGTATATAACATAGCAACAAAAATAATTTTTGTAGAAATTTCAATACAGTCAGACAGTAACTGCCTAGGTGCACATATTACTGATTTTTAAATATATTGTGTATATGTGCATATATGTGTATGTATATGTGCATTCATGTGCCCGTATTTTGTGTGTACCTATTCTTGGATATAAAATAAGGGCAAGCATTTTACTTCAGAGCCAGAAAAGAAGATATAACTGGATTTCTTAGCATCCTCCTTTGAAGGTTGTGCCATTAGCTTGAGTGCAAACTAAATCAGCTCAGACTTGACCTGTTAATTTTGTTGATCTTTACCAACCACAAGCTGGGCCTCTGGCACTAACCATGCATAGAAATAGTCTCAAAAAAGAAAAACCCAGGAGTACCTTGGGAAAGAGATACCAGCAAAGGGAAACATAGTTTAAATTGAAGTAAAAACACCATTCAATGGGAGGATCATAAAGGATTTGTCAAATTGCTTACGTCTTTCTCTTCTTCCTTAAGTATAATCTCAAAATTGTTTAGTGAAAGTTGAAAGAAATGATGTTTCTGACACAACAGCAGATGCGAGGGAATAACTATTCTCAGATGTGTTGCTGATCTGGAAGAGGCAGGGGCAGCATTACAGGCAGATCTTCTGCTCTGCAAGAAAGCCTGACCCTGGATGTCTCATTTGCACTGCTGGGCTTGCAGTGTAGCACCTGGCTCCTATCAGTGCTTCCATTCTAACTGCCATGGCTGCATGACTGACTGCAGGAGAGAAGGCTGGCAGGTGGACCATTTCCAACTTTTGTTGTGCACCAAGAAGGTCCATTTATAAGCTCAGATTAAGAAGCATTGCAGGAGGAAATATCCACAAGTGTATTCTGACCCACTGCTCTCAGATCCAAGAAGTAACGAGATGCCAGTTCAATATAAAGCTTCAGGCGTGGGAAGGATTCTGTGTACAGGAGCTGGGAGCCCAAGTCCTGGGTGAGGCTCTTGACTATAGCCCCAGCCCTGACAAGGCTGCATTCTAAGTCTCCTCTTTTGGGAAGCCTGAAGTGACAGAGGGCACAGCCAGTTCAGAGTATGAATATGAAAGTTCTAGATTTAACGGGGGAGGGGCATGCCCTTGGAAAACTAAATCACTAGATAGTTAAACAACTTCTGGGTGAAAGTTGTGAACATTATCTTCAGCACTTTGAGAGTGGGTCTCAGCAAATAAAAACACACAGTGTATTGACTTTGGAAAAAGAATTGCTCTCTGGAAAGAAAATGCCCTGATGGCTTGCCACAGGCTGAGAGAACAGCCACAGAAACCTCTCACATCTTTCCTGCACTAACTTTAACAACACAGCCCGCAATTACTGCGGAGCATTGGAGCACTATTAAATTAGGTGCCTGGGCAGGTGACACACGGAGGTCCAGCTGTGTTACCTGGGCGGACAATCCTTTTCATAGCATGTCTTCTGTCTCCCGCTGGGCTGCGTTTCTGGGTTACAGAAAGTAGCCTTCACTATCCCATGGCCCTTCTTGACACAATGAACAGCCTGCCGGCGAATACCTGGGGAAAGAACCACACACTTTGAGTTCTGAAACCATGTGAAAGCTACTGTACAAGAAACACATGTCTTCAAAGAGGCCATGGGTAAAGGCTGGAGCTGGCGGCTCAGTGGAGCCTCCACATGGTTCCAGCGCCCAGACCTTTGAGTGACTTGTACAGAGTCACTGCAGTCTTTGAGTCTCTCTAACTGAGAGGCCCAACATATCGGAGTAGAGATTTCTCCATCCTTTAGACACCCTGCACAAACAGTCTCTGAGTTTGATAAAGTGGTGGTACTCTGTACGGACCGAATGGATGCCAGCTCTCCTTCCTTCTCTATTCAAGACCAATCCAGTTAGCTTCTTAGTTCACAGAGCACTGACTTTTTTCATCTCCTCCTCTCCTGGGCTGCTGTCGTTTCTTTTTCTTTTTTGTTTCTTCCTTCCAGACCTAGTCTGTTTTTTCCCAGCACCCTGCTCTTAACTCTTGAAGTGATCTTATGGATGACTGTGGTATCCATTGAGGTCTAGAAATTGGACTGCTATCTTTTTGGCTAACTGCCTCTTCTCTAATTTTCCTGGGCTAGGGATGGTAGCCTTGTTTCCCTCACATTCCAGTGTTCATGGGCAGTATTTACCTGTCTTAATTTCTCCAAACCCTTCCATGCCCATGAAAGTAGCCAAAGTAGTGAGTCTGCCAACTGTTTCCTGCTGGGGTCTCTAAGTTATATTATCTCCTTTACAACAACGAACTTAATAGTTTAGAGAAAAAAAAAAAAAACCAAACATTATTACTCTTCAGTGGCATGCTCATTAGTCTGAAATCCAATTTTGGAATAATGGCAGCTCTCTTTAACATGGGCTGTTATAAAAGCTTTAGTGGAGGGGGTTAGAGTAAGGTCATGCTTTTAAGAATAATTACTATTATGTAACGCTGCAAATTCAGAAATTATGATATTAGACTGTATCTAAAGGAGTGTGATTTTTTTTCTGTAAAAATGGCTTGGCATTCTTTTTTTTTCAAACTGGACACTGATCTCAAAGAAATTTTACTAACTGGGCTGCCAATAAACCTGTGTGATGTCATAGGACTAAATTATTTCTCATCTGAAGATGCTTCCTTGAAACTTCTACTTCTAAGGTGGAAAGTTAGACCTGTGAGATGGCTCATTTAGGCCACTCGCAGCAAGGCTGACAACGTGAATTTGATTTCCAGAACCCGTAATGAGGAAGGAGAGAGCGGATTTCTGTCAGTTGTCCTCTGACCACCATATACCCACAGTGATATCTGTGTGCCTGCACACTCTCTCTCTCTCTCTCTCTCTCTCTCTCTACTATTTCCAGAAGATTGTAAGACCCTTTTAAATACTTGATAAATCATACTGGGCATTAGTGGTATTGAGCCAATTGAATGCCTTGATTTTAAACCTGTCACCATGCTTTAGAATTGGTCATCTCGGAAGGAAATGTGCCTTGAAAGAAGGGAAAGTTAAGTTCCTCATGAAAAACAAGTGCAGAAACAGTGACACGGTTTATTATAATCTCAAGTTAATATTGAGATTTTTAAAATGGAGTCTGCAATGCAGTTAATTTGTTTAAGATGTTTTAAATTAAACATTTACGTTAGAATAAGTTATACAAAACAATTGAAGAATGCTTGACAAACAGAAGTGCAGAATTTTCGAAATGTCAAAACTTAAAAGATCAAAGAGGCTCCAGGCAGTGCCTAACCACTTCATCTGAAAGGACTTAACATATTATCAACTCAATCTCTGGAGTACCAAATAAGATTGCGTTCCTTACACCTACACAGTGACAATAATATCAGTATGAACTAAAGTTCACAACAGCACAAAAATTAGAATTCTAAGACTGCACATAAAATGATTTTAATAATGTAAAATGATAACAATTTTGCAAAGCAATAGATTTATCATAAATAAACCTCTTCATAAACCTCTTCATAAATACCAGTACAGAGAAATAACACTCACTTCACAGGAAGAAGAAAAGCGTGAGGACTGAATAACCACTGATGTTGTTGATAAGTACAACTCATTCTACCAACTTTCAACTTCAGTTTCCAGGAACATTATTTTCCTGACTCCCCTAGCTCTGTTGGCTCCATTTTCTTCAACCAGTGAATTCATATCTATCCACCACAACACAAACTCGGTCTAGGAAAGCGTGCAACCTGCCACTACTAGTGTGTGTGTGTGTGTGTGTGTGTGTGTGTGTGTGTGTGTGTGTGAAAGAAAGAGAGAGAGAGAGAGATTGAGAGAGAGAGAGAGAGAGGCAGACAGACAGGCAGAGACAGAGAGGAAGAGAGACAGAGAGAGGACTAGCAACAGTAGGTGCCACATCAATCTCATAAGAATCACAACTGGGTTTGAGTCTTCTTTTAATGTATAGTTTCTGAGTATTCTCTGACAATCTCTCTTACGTTTCTCAAGCCTCAGTTTCTTTGTCCTCACTTATTTGATAATGCTAAGATTATAATAGGGAGTGCTGTGGGGATAACTATATACATAATATATTATATAATATATAATTATACTATACAATATATTTAATATATGATAATAAATTATGATATAAATATAATATATCATATACATGAATATACATACATGTATATGTATGTATATATGGAGTATCAACTCTCTCTGAAGACACTGAATAATTCAGGTTTTGCAGTCAAGGTTGAACACACACTGAGATTGGGATGTAGAGAAGATTTTATTCATCCAATCCACTTAAACCTGTTTCTCTACACCCTATAATTCAATTTTCTAGATGATTGACCCCACTTTGTCATAATTCTTTTTTTCCAGCTCAAAAACTTCTCTGACTTTTTACTGACTTTAACTATTAATTAGCTATGCATTAACATGCTTGATTTTTGTCACTGGTCATTGCTAACATCTTCACAAGTCCCATAAGTATAAAAGCCAATACCATTTTCCCCACTGAAATGCCAGTCATCTGATCATATCATGTTAAAGGCAACTTTGAAAAAAAAAGGTGAAAATTTGTTCAGGTTAAAAAAAATTGACTATGCTTGAAGAACTTTAATGGTGTTAGGAAAAAAAAATGTTTCTGTCCTCCGAAGGAACTATTCACAAAATTAAGCAAAACCAGTCTTCAGACCAACCGTGGCTCCCTTTCTGTAGCCACTGCGTGAAAGTCAGGCAAATCACACAATTAAAGAAAATCAGAAAAGCCTGCAAAATCCCACAACACTTAGCAGCTAACTGGTTAAAGCAGGCATTCGGCATTTCACAGAACACCGTGAGCGAGCACAGCAGCAACAGAGAAAATGCAAGCCGCTGTAATATTAGAGAACAAAACGAGAGCCCTATAATCAAAGAGGGCCTAATCTCTGCAGGCTGCACAGGGTACAAAAGCAGTGGGACATAGGAGACCAGCATAATGAGAGACCATTAGATTAGCCACAGTGGTGCCAGCCAGCCAGCTACTAGATTTCTTGTTCTCTCCTTTTTATGATTTTGGTAAACTATATCTCATCTTCATTTGCTAACACATTTTAAACCTGCCTTGATAGTTTTAATATCCTCATGGATATTGCATCAGAAAGTGTCTTCAAGTTTTTGTTTGAACAGGATGAACCAAAACATTATCCAGTGGTAACTAACCACTGTTTCCAGTGGGCAGGCCCCAACTTAAGAGGTGTCAAGGATGCTGCAAGAGTATACTAATTCTGTGGTACCCACACTGACCTCTGATTTTGTGGTTCCCCTCCACCACCATTTGGTCCTTTGTGTTTTCCATTTTTTCCCTATGTTACCCTACATTTTTATAATGTAGAAAGTTTTAACTTAAATATATATAATGACAAATGGCCACTGAATGTGTCGCTGTTCTGTCTTTGTGTTTCACATTGTGTGCCCTGTGTGAATATCAGTGTCCTGTCCTCTATGTGTCTGGGGTAGTGACTAACATAGATAGCCAGGATTTTCTCTGCCGGAGCCAGAGATCTCCCGGTAACTGCAATAGGCAGTGTATTGAAGTTCACATGCTCACTGTGAACATCCCATTAAGGCTTTGCAATCGGAATGAAGTTTACTCACCCAGGCAGGGATGGTGCTGAAGGACCAGGCTGTAACAAGCAAAACCAAATGTTGAATTGACATTAGTTAAGGATGTTCTATTTCCTAACTAACTTTGGAAGTCTCGTTACGGTCACTGCAAACCCAGCTGCTTAGCTCTCGGTCCCTGATGCTCTGAAATAACAAACCCAAGCTCATTAAATCCAGAAACAGAAGAGGGTGGAGGATGCTCTGCTTTTCTGTGGAGTCTCAGATAACTAGCACTAGGTGAATTTCATTATGTGTGGTCTGGGACAACTAATTTAAGCAGAACGTTTAAGCATGAACTTCCCTGAGAGCTGAGAAGAAGAGGGAATCACAGGTTGAAAATGTACTTGGAACTACATTCACAATGACTTCATTTTTCTCATGAATGATCCCCAGGGAAAGTATTTGACACTCAATATTTATTTCCTGCTAAAAATTGCCTTTGCTTCTCTGGGAACCTGGCCCATGCTGGGCCACAGGCCAGGGCATTGCTGGAGACTGATATGGGAATCAAGGATGGATTGTCTAGGGACACCTGTGTAACAGCTGCCAGACTGCACCTTGGGCCTAGAATAATTTCTATGTTAACAGTTTCAAAACCTTATATATGTAAAGATGCATAATGCATATATGTAAAAATACGTCATACAAATGTATGAAGGTCTCAAAGAGTAAATAGATTACGTTTAAAATAGACATTTTAGAGAGATGGCTCCGCCTTGTGAGAACCCAAGTTCGGTTTTCTGCACTCGTATCAGGCGGCTCACAACTGCTGTATAGCTCCAGTTCCAGGGAGCTAACATCTCTAGCTTCTGCAGGAACTTTCACAAATATTCCTGTACTCTATTCCTCATACAGACAATTAAAAACAAAAGAAATTTTTAAGCAGACATTTTATTCTTACGAGTTCTAAAAGCTGTACCTAGCTTTCTGTGCTAAACTGGGGAAAGGATGAATTGTTTATGAGCTGCATTATGCATGACCCAACTTCTGATTCTGGACCCTATTCTATGATTGCTTCCTGGGGTAGGGAAACAAGGGGTGAGGCCACATCGGGTAAGAAGGAGGCGAAGAATGGCTTCCTGGCATGTTCCCTCCTTCATTTTGATTTCCATTGCTACATTACACACCCTGGCTATCTGCTATGCAAGTGCTCTGGTTTTATAGGCAGAAATTCCAGGAAGGAGGCAAGAAGTTCCAGAACAGACTCAAGTGTGGTCCAAAGACAGGCACAGAAATAAAGCTTCCTCAGACAACATTATTTTGAAAGCTCCACATACCAAGAGGCATAGCCTCTGCCTTCAAGAGCCTTGGCAAAGTTCATACATCATGCAGGTGATGTCTGTGCTTTCCAAGTGTCCTCTCGTGTCTTTGTATATCCCAGTCTCCCCTCGAGTGGAGTGGTATCCATGTAATCAAAGCAGACCAATAAAATGTAAACAGGGTACCTATTCCTTTAAGCCACAGACAAACCCAGTCACTGCTCAAAGGGATGTCCTGGGATCCCTCTGTGAGATCCTGGAGACCAGAAGGCACAGGATGAAAATACTGGCCTAGATCACCTCTTTGGCCTACTCCAAAGCTGGTGGTGTTTCCAAGTGGAAGCAGCTGTTTCTCACCTGTTCCACATGTCACACTACATTCTGTCCAGCGGCCAAACTGCCAGGAGTACAACAACTTCTCCACGTCATTGTCAAGCCCATCCTTCCGGACCGTGTACTCATACTTGATACCAGGGTTAGTCACCTGGAATAGTAGCTAAAATGCGAGAGAAGAGTCATGTCAAACTGTCTTGAATATAGATTGCAAGCCAGTCGTTTAAAAGTATACCCAGAAGCTAGACAGATGGATAAGTAAGTAAAGTGGATGCCATTCACCCGTGCAGAAAGCCAGGCATGGGTGTGTGCTCCTATAATTCCAGGACTAGGGAAGCAGAGATAGGAAGATCCCCAGGGTTTGCTGGCCAGCCAGTCTAACTGAATCAGCAAGCGCCTGGTTTAGTGAGAGACTTGTCTCAAAAAAGCCAAATAAACTAAGGCAAGCTATCGAGAAAGATGGCCCAACTGATGCTGACCTCTGGTATATTTGCACTCCTGCATACATGGATACTTGTATACCAAACATCACAGAATGTTTCTCTTTGGCAGTAGTTATAGTGGGCGCTGCTAAAAGGTTCTCTACCAACATCTGTATTTGTCTAGCTACATCAACTTTGGCTGTCTACAATCACACAATCTGCTTCTGTAGTTCATTGGCTAAAACAACATGCAAGTTTAATACAGAATTTAAATCATATGGACACTACACTATGGGGTTGAGCCAAATGTCTCCTGTGCCCTGTGTACTTACTAACTTCAGGAATATGGGTAAATGCCTTAGTTTCTTTACTTTCAAAACAAACCTAAGAAGTACTTGCTGGTGTGTTTCTCATCAGGGTTAAGTGAATACGTATACAGAAACTGATTATTACCTGACATGAAGTTAGCTCTCAGACATTAACTTACATTACAGCTGTGTGTTAATGAGGTTCCTACTCTAGTTCTTAGGTTGGGTGGTAGTTTTAATATACCGTAGCTCTGAGATGAAAAAGGATAACCTTGACCACCATCTTCTGCCTTCACATTCTGATTTGACCTCCCTCAGGTTTTAGAATGTGGCTGAATCTGACTCTGTTGGACTGTCTCTCATTGCCAACTTACTTTGTGCTGCCCAGTACAGACATCCTATTTTCTATATTTCTATGCTTAACAAGGACAAAACCCATGATTCTTTGCAAAGCATGTACTCTGATGTGAGCTGCCTTGTTCCAAGAGTTTCACAAAGCAAACTCTACCTGACAACCAAAGTTGTCACCTCAATTCATCACCACTGCTAGGAAGCCACAATGAGGCACTTTAAATACACAAGGAATAAATCAGCCTGAGAACTATGTTCCAACTTCCAGATGGTTTGGAGGTTCTGACTTTTGTTCCTGGGGCTTCTGCAGTTCTAAAGAACAAAGAAGGAACAGCACAAACATTTTTCTCCCTCCCTACTTTTTGTTAAGGAAATTAATGAGTCACAGTTAATGTCCTCTGCTAAACAGCTTAAGAGGGAAGTGAGAAGGATGCCCCTGAACAGCACGCTGGCCAGCAGCTCCTTCCCTTCAGCATTACCTGCAGCCATACTGATTCGTTGGTGGGGCCTGGAGCCATCAGCTTTTCCAGATCTCCTTTCCTGTCGTACTGGAAGACGGTGCCGGCCAGCTTATAATTTCCATTCCACTGGATAATAAACCCCCCATTGAGGTAATATTTTTCTGGATCTTCACTCCTAATGGCCAGGAAATTTCCAGCTGCCTTGATTTCCATTACCCTTATATCCCTTGCCCCTTTGGGAATAAGTCCAATGTCGACGTAACCTGTGGACAAAAGAGACACTAATGAAAGAGGCTTGCTAGTTTCTCAGCTAAAGCTGCCTGTTATCCTTAGCATCTGTATCCCTCAGTGCCCATGCTTGAGTGGCCACCGGGATGGGTAGAACCAGCAGCTATGAAGAACTAGAACAGACTAACCAGTGAAAGAATTCTTAGGAGCTTAATGACTTAGTGTATAGACAGTTCTATGAGGATAGGTGACTAAATACAGATGGGACTCAGAAGATTTGCAGCTGACACAGCATTTGTGTGTGTGTGTGTGTGTGTGTGTGTGTGTGTGTGATTCTGTATGAATGCTTCAAAATTTCTCAGCTCCAAGCTAGTTTCCCATTCGAATTCCTCCTTCCTCCTTTTATTCTTGCCATCAGTGAGCTCTCCCAAGCAACCCACAGGCTACAGATTTTTCTTCCTCGGCATCACCATCAGGTCAAAAACAGCTTCTTAGATACAATTTAATCCAAACTGAAATCCATTACGACCTTCTGGAAGGTAACCTTGGATTGAGTGCCACCTGGCTTGTTTCAATCAGCGCATAACAAAAACCCAAGTTCTCTGCCCTGGTTTCTACCTCATTGCACAATTCTATTCACTAGGACGCCTTGGCTCCTCATTTTCTCCTCTTTTACAAAATGACAAATTCATAACTTTCAGTGCTGTCATCCAGGCTTCTAAAAAAAAATGTATCTGTTTTAAAGCATTGATCGACTCTGGCGGCAATCTTCTCCTGTTTAATGGTTGTCATAGGAGGAGGCATGCCGGTGAGAGAAGAAACGGACATGGTGGTCGCCTTTCTTCACTAGCTCCTTATGATCCCATGCTACTTACGCTTCCCGAGAACCATGGCTTCATAGGATGGAAGGAACATGGGCTTTAGGACGGCCTTGTGTTCCAGTCTGTGAACTGCTGTGGATATAAACATGATTTTATTTTAATCCCTGGTGTGGGATGTGGGACTGATTCAGATTGTCCACAGCAGCAAAATATTTGCCTCATGCAGGCTCTGAGAGGAGCTCTTTGTCAGCTGCAGATAGTTTAAATCTGAGGACTCTGGAGAGAGAATAAATGCCAGAGCCCAGAGAGTGTGGAGTAGCTCTGAGAAAGAACAAGGCTGTTGCTTCTCCCCTGTGACCCCTGTTGCTGTTGATGCAGTGAGACAAGAGGATTGGACTGGCTCCAAGGAATCCAATCACCCTAACCATCAGGAAACAGCTAAGAGAACTGTGCCCTCTCTCCTACTAATGCTTTTTCTCTCCTACCTGCTCTTTCTCTCTCCTCTTGGCTCTTGTAAGGGATTAGGGTGAATAGGGAGGAAGAGTTATAAGAAATGTAAATAAAAGTTTTTTTTTTAAGTATGCAAACAGTGCACTGCACAGCAGATCTAGTTCTATGAAGTTTGTCCGTCTGTCTAACTCCTTTGAATCTCTTCTGCACAATCACAGGAACTGAAGAGTGATCTCAGAGACTCCTCAGCCATCATTCTACATAAGATTGATGGTGTCTGCTAGTGGCAACCAAAACAACATTCATTAGAGGCCTGATGCTCACAATACATGTGAGTAAGTTCCTGAGGAAGCATGAATTTTTAGATCCATCTTCCGGTGTCTCACTTGAGAGCTGTGGCATGTAGGAGTACAAATCAGATACAGTTCTGTGTTCAACATGAGTCACAGGATGAGGAAGAACTACATAAAAATCAATGTTCCTAAAAGATCTTTTGAAAGGCTGAGTTGCTCTGCCTCAGATTTAGCCTTAATTATTTCAAAAGTGTGACAATCTCAGGGTACATGGTAAGACATCACAAGTACTGAACTAGAAGTCAGTAGGAAGAAAAGGCAGGAGAAGGCTCAAAAATGAATAGTGACTTTGTACTTACTTTTAGGGTAAAGGATTAGAGTCTTAGTCCTGGAAGCATTTCAGCCTTGATATGAAAACTCTAGAGTATCTAACTACCCTCCCCTTCTTCCCTTCCAAACCAACCTAAGGCTTCCTGGGGGGAAATAATAAGATAGGATGTCTATCCAGCCTCCTATATCCAGTCTCCAGGTGTACTTTGGTTCTAAGACAGTCACATTACCACTGTGTGCTACCTTCTTCCTCAAGTCCTCTCTGGAATGTGTGTGTATATATGATTCTCTTAGCTACTTGCAGTTCCTTGTCCAGCCCCTTATTACTTTAATTAATTTATATTAATGTTATGGTTGGTAGCACTGAGGTGATTTATAGCAAGCAACTTTATATGTTGTCAGAGAATTAGACTTGCCAAGATGTTGATCTCTTGGCAATATTTACCTCTCCAAAGCCACACAGCTCTCCCTGTTCTCCCAAGTCAACAGCAAACACAGTGAACTTTGTGGTGTACCATGTGAGTAATTTTCAGCCTCAAAGTAATATCATTTCTTCCCAAAAGTATCTCTTTTGTCCCCCTCCATTAGCCATGTTACTTATTCCTAAATTGCTACATCCTTCCTCCTTCTGCCTGTTCAATGGATGTCCTAGGAGGGTTCCATTCATTCAAATCTTCAGAATATGCATTGTTGTGGAATTGGGAAGACAGCAATAGCACAACTTGTGCGTGTCAATCTCTAATGTACATTTCACTTCCAACCAATAAGATGGGTGACAGAGACTAGTGAGACATTTCTGTGAGAATTAAATGCATGACTGTTAGTAGGTGGGATCTGGTGGGGAGTCTGGTAGAGTCTGAGGGGTTTGGTAGGATCTGGTCTGCCAGGTACACACATCATTCCAGGAAGATACTATTATCATATTACAGGAATCTCCCATCCTAAATGTATAGATGCTGGCATCAAGAGTTTATACTATAGAACAGGGACTTCCTTTGTCCTTTTTCTGTTATCTAAACTGCAGAAATTATTTTTATTTTTCATGCTATTTATGTAAATGAAATTATAAGTGAGGTGTAGTAACCAGAGAAAACTAAGTTTTTTTTTAAAATATTGTGCTCAGAGTTCTAATAATGTTATTATATGCAACAAATATACTAAACTTGTATATTGTATGTGAGAGTATTTGTGTTTGTGATTAAAGATTTATTTTATGATAACTGCTCTAGATCAAAAAAATTAAGATGCAAGAATATACTGGTTATGATTAAATGAAAGAGATATGAGTCAAGGCTGATCTTGTAGGCATTGAGTTAAGGGTGCTCACAGATGTGGCCTCTCATTGTCAGCAACAAGACACAGAAGGCCAGTAGGAGCAAGGCCAGAACTTAATAGTATTGGTTGTAACCTGGAAGAGAAGTGTAGAGAAGCCAAAGAAGGAGAGAGAAGCAGTCCAGAATGGTGATTTTAAGAACTTCAAGATGGTAAACAGTGTCAGAAAAGAGGAGCCGAGTTTAAAGACAAAGTAGATAAGGCACACCTAGGAACCTAAGCAGTAGAAACAAACCAAGGATGAGAAAAGTGGATTATAGAGGGTTTACATCAATGAAAATGGGCCACAGCTGGGTGCAGTGGTAGACACCTATGATCCCAGCACTTGGGGAGCAAGAGGCAGGCGTATCTCTGTAAGCTCGAAGCCAGCCTGGTCTACAAAGCAAGTCCAGGACAGCCAATGCTACACAGAGAAACCCTGTCTCAAAAAAAGAAGAAAAAGAGGAAAGGAAGAAAGAAAATGGGCCACAAGGCGGGATGGAGAGAGCTGGTTCAGCAGTTAGGAGTACATATTGCCTCTCAAGAATGCCTGAGTTTGGTTTCCTGAAGCCCTCTTCAAGCCTCTGAGGTCATGACACTCATCCTTACACACACACAGACACAAACAAATTAAATTAAATTAAATCTTTTTCTAAAAAATAGGCTGTAAAGTTTTATGGTGAATATTAGTATCTGAATAATAAGTCTGGGACACCTTTGGAAGAAAAATCAGCATAAAGGTCCATCAACTTCCCTTTGAAGCAGAAAATTTGTTTAATTTTCAACTACAGGTTAAAAGTCAGAGCAGCATCTATACCCTGTTTCCTCCCTGCTATAAAACAGAGATGGCAGCAGAGAGAGTCACTATTATACTCATTGTTCTTCAGCAGATGCTCAGTTGTTTCTTGGGTATTGAGTAAATGAATAAACAAGTCAGGCATCTTTAGTATCTGCTACTTTGCCCTAAGTTCTTCTAATTGCAGACACTTCTAATCACAGTAATCATTGTCTACCTCTCAATGGTAATGATTTTCTTTTTTCTTTTCTTTTCATGAACAATGGAAAATGAAGCTACTATGAGGCTTTATAAGAAAGGGTAGCCGATGTAGCCCAAGTCTGGCACGAAGTAGAAATCAAGATGGTACCATTCAGTACACAGCATCAAGTCTATTGAATAAGATTCCCTTCTACAGAGAAAGCCAGGAATTTAGTTGGAGTGTCTCAAGGAGGCAACAGGTCTGGAAATTTTTTCATGGACACTGTGCAACTTCAGTACAAAGATATATAGAGACATAACACACCTAAAGGATATTAGGACTACAGAGAAAAATGTCAGTCAAGGTCAGTAGGGATTTCAGAAGCTGGGGACCCCTCATTTCTTGCCTCCTGACCTATTTTAATTCTGCATGATCCCTTCTCCTTCTTAGGTGTATTTAAACAAATGACAAAAGAATTTGAGCAACATTTCATGCCCCTGTAACTGATGGTAGTAGCAGCGACTGCTCCTACAGTGAGAAAGAAGTGGAGGAGGAAGAAGGGTTGGGTCTGACTATCATAGACATTTTAATTGAAACTCTTTTTAAAATAACTCTTCTAAGAAGAGCCGTGAGCAAAGCACATAGAAGTGGCCAATCCCTAAAAGAGTAGTTTTCTTTTAAGACACCAAAGCAAAAGGGTGGGGGGGGGGGGGAACTAACTTAGAAGAGCCAATGAAGTGCTGTCCTTTGTTAGCAAAAGAGTTTGGAATTCATCTTAAGGAAAACTCATTTTACCTAAATTTCCATGAGCACTTACCGAATACATACTCCAGATAGAGACTGCAGCCATCTGGAGTTGAGTGAGGTAGAGACAAATACCACAAAGACAATTCTATTCCTGGTTAATAGCTACCTTGAGTTCAAAGAATAAAATATAGGTGAGATGTGGCAGCTCCACAGAATAGCTGAAGAATAAATACAGGGAAGTAGGTAATAAACAATATATATATATCCCTATATATTTTTGCACTTCACACAAGTCCGTCACACCAGTTCAATGTAAATATATTTTATTATTCTTTTGCAGCATGCCCTTGCCTCATTTGCATGATGGAAAAGTGGTAGGCAGTTCCCCCCCTTTCTTGTGTCAAGGTTCATTAATCAGGGCGCAAAGATGGGATCTGGTAAGCATCCTGTGGTCTGTGGACACAGACCTTCTTAGTGCCTGTTGCAGTTCAGAGTGAAACTCCATGCACTCCCCTATGCACTAAGAGGGGCAAGAGCAGAGGTCTACGAGAATCCTGCAGTCATGAGCGGTGTAACGCTAACACCAATCCATGGGTGCCAAAGACCACTCAAGTATTTCAAGCAGCAAATGGAAGAAAGAGAACTTATAATACAAGTCTCAGCTGTTAAATGCTTAGTGGTAGAATGTGGCTAGAAGTGCAGGCCAAGCTATTTATAGTCTCCTTTTCTTATTCCAAGAGACTAGAGAAGAAGAAAAACAGACAAGAAAATAAACCAACAGCAGAAATCAAGTGCAATTCCCTAAGACATTAGAAGGTCAAATAGAGAAAATGTAGGAACGACAGCTCGGGTCATCATGTAAGAAGTACAGCATAGCAGAGACCAAAATTACAGACCTCTATGGAGAAATGGACCAGAGGTTAGAAAACGAAACATGATTTTAGTTTGACATTTTATAATTTAGGTTAATGTGACCATATCTAAATAAAAGAAAATATCGACAAAATGTCTTTGTTTAGGTTAAAAAGATAGCCACCACATGATGCTTAATCATAAATTTAACACATACTGGATTATCATCTTCACCCCCAGAAAGTAATTAGAAAGATGTGTTCCATCCAGAATAAAGTTATCAGTGAAATGAGAAATGCAGTCTGTGAATGGTAATACTTAAAGCGCAGGGCAGGACTCATTTTTACGATTTGACAATAATCAGTCAAATTGAAAAGACAAGGATAGAATTTAGATAAATTTAGACTATCTGCTGTGTATTCTATGGAGGCAGTGAGTAATGTAATCAATTGAAGAAAACACTCAGTACTCATGGAATTACACTTAGGGACTTCCTGAGTACTAAACACATCTAAGAGAGAGACACTGCTTTAGTAAGACCCAGAAACCAGTACCCCTTTATATCTGAAAGTGGCCATCATTTCTGGTTCTGATGTGACCTCTAGGAAGCCGGCGATGCTTCTTATCCAGGATCTACTTCAGTCCTGTATGCCAGACTGGCTGTTCCCAGCACCCATTCTTCTACAGAACCAGGAGAATGAATTTCCACCACCACACCTTGAGCAGCAGAAACTGCTTATCACCATCCCAACTCTTCCTTCTCCACGTGGGAAAATGCAAATGTAGAGTTCTGTGTCTGAGCACCAGCTTGATGACCAGACCCTTCCTTTCTTGGCTTCTTTCTATTCACTGCTGTTTTCCCAGGGCCTCCTATCCCCTAAACAATTATTTATATCGGAATTCTTGTTTCACAGTCTTTCTGGGGAGGCTCAATTAAAATATCCCGAGTTGTCGTCATCTTAAGACTTTACCAGGTAAAGATCATGGCTGGTATGAAGGCACCATGAGAACTACTGTTGATGAATGTAAACCTTCATGGTCATAACTGATGTGAAATGATCGTAGGGTCTTGCCACACCTCCTAGGCTCCCTGGTAGCTCATAAGGCTGCACAAAGAACTCTTGAAAGGTCTAAATACAGAAAAGGAATGGTAAAGAATGGACAAAGGCAGGCATGTTAGGTAGAGACGTGCCCTCAGATTCATCGGTCCATTGTGTTGGATGTACAGGCTGGGGATGTGAAGCATCTCCTTCTTGCCTCTCCTTTGACCTTGACAGTACGCGCCAGTACTTCTGCCTTCCCACATGTTGCTGGCTTCTCGTTCCTCATATACAAAACCCCCAACCCAGTGTGTGAGTCCATCTCTCCCTGGCTCTTGGTTTATTCTGACGTCATTGTCTTTATCCTGTTCCTCTTAAGCTGCATATTCTCAAGGAGCATGGCCTTCTAGGAACCACACTGTTATCTGTTCCCTGGAGTAGCCACCAGCCTTTCAGGCCAGTGTGACACTTCCTGTATTGTCTTAGTAACCAATAGTTGTTCGTATAAATGCCAAAGGGAGCTGTTTCCTTTGTAGTGAGAACTATATCCTATTAAAAAACAAACCCAAAATCTCTTTCTCTCCCTTCTTCCCTCCCTCCCTTTGGCTTTTCTTTTTTTTTTTTAATAATTTATTTAATTTTATGTGCATTAGTTTGAAGGCATCAGATCCCTTGGAATTGGCATTATAGACAGTTGTGAGCTGCCATGTGGGTGGCTGGGAATTGAACCCAGGTCCTTTGGAAGAGCAGACAGTGCTCTTAACCACTGAGCCATCTCTCCAGCCCCATAAGATTTTATTTATGTAGGGCATCAGATCTCAATAGAGATGGTTGTGAGCCATCATAGGGTTTATGGGAATTGAACTCAGGACCTCTGGAAGGGCAGACAGTGTTCTTAACCACTGAGCCATATCTCCAGCCCCATAAGATTTTATTTATGTAGGGCATCAGATCTCAATAGAGATGGTTGTGAGCCATCATAGGATTTATGGGAATTGAACTCAGGACCTCTGGAAGGGCAGACAGTGTTCTTAACCACTGAGCCATATCTCCAGCCCTTTGGCTTTTCAAAGTCCCTTGATACTTAAGTTATCTGGGTTTTTCTCTCACCGGATCCCTCCTTCTGTTTAAACAGCTTCTTCACAGTCTGGCAGGCAGAGCCGTCTCCAAGGCACACACCACAGCGATCCTCTGTAGCATTGGAATCAATCTCATAGTCACAGCCAACCTTCTGTGGGGGAACGAAAGGTTGGGATGAATGGCATAGGTAGGAGACATCATACCTGCCTCTACCTATAACCTCTCATTTCCTACTTTATTATTCATGTGCCTAGTGGCTTGTTTCTTTTTCCTGGTGGCAGGCACAGGAATAAATGCTCCATTACTATTGGCAAAAGAAATAAAATCATCTCTACACAGCCACGGGGGAGGAGTGGGGGATTGGCCTCAGGACTGTCAACATTTTCAGATGCTCATATGTCTTATACAAAGGGCATAATGTTTGCATATGACCTGTGTACAACTTATATTCTTTAAAATCATCTTTAGGGTAATTATAATGCCCAATACCGAGACTAAATCTGCCAGAAAACCAGGTAGGCTGCTGGATGACCCTGAGAGAAATCTCTCTGTTCCTCAAGACTCAATCACCCACTCTCATGCCTAGGGCTGCAACAGAATACAAGCTGCAGCCTTCCATCATACCTGCCCGCATCTCCTGTGGATATCAAAGACTACTCCCTCCTAACCTCCTTCCTCCTACTTGTTGCTGTATCCAAGCCCACACTGTAGCAGTCATGTTCTGCTAACCACAGGCCATAACTGCCTGCCAGAAAGCCAGGTTAGGCTGCTACAGATCTCTCTCTCTTTCTCTCTCTCTTTCTCTCTCTCTCTCTTTCTCTCTCTCTCTCTTTCTCTCTCTCTCTCTGTATCTCTGTCTTTCTCCTGAGCCCCAATTTCCCAGTCTAGGCCCTAAGCCCTAGGGTTGTAACAGAACACCAGTGAAGTCTTCCCTCACCTCTGCCCACACCTCCTATGAATCTCAGAAACCATCCTTTTCCAACCTCACTCTCCCACATGTTGCTTTGTCCCAGACCCCAACTCCCTAGTAATACCAGGGCTGCTCCTCCCAGGGCAACAAGCAGGCTGGAGGCTAGCTCACACCTCTCCTACTGCTCCTGAGGTGCAACCCCCCAGTCTCATCTCCAGCTCTGTGGCTGGAGACCTTTTGTGATCTTTCTTTTCTCTCTCACCTCAAAGACCACCCTCAGCTTTCCTTTCCCCAACTCATCCCAGTATTGCGGTCTCCAACACTAGCAGATATTCCCTGAGAACACAAGAACTGAACAGGCAAGGGAAACAGGCAACACACAGCCATCACATTTTTGAAAATCCAGAGAAAAAATAGAAACCAAGGAACAAAACAACTACCCAACAAAAGACAAATCTGGAAATCAGCACCTAGACCTAAAATCATTCCCAACCCAGATGCCTGGACACCAGCACAAAAACACAATTAACAGCCAGAGTAACAAGTCTCTGCTAGAGCCCAGCTATCCTAAAACAGCAGGTCCTGACTATTCTAACCTAACTTAAACCTTAAAACAGCCTTTATGGATATGGTAGAGGTCATTAAAGAAGAAATTAATAAGCCCCTTATTAATCCAGAAAAACACAGACAGTGTAAAGAAATAAATACAATTGTTCAGGACCTGACATTGGATATAGAATCAACAAAGAAAATGCAAACTGAGGGAATTCTGGAAATGGAAAATTTAGGGATTTGAACAGGAACTACAGAGGACAGCTTCAACAACAAAATAATCTCAAGCATTGAGGATACACTAGAAGAAATGGGTACATGGATCAAAGAAAATGTTAAATCTAAAAAATTGCAGAAAATTTAGGACACCATGAAAATATCAAACCTAAGAATAATAAGAATAGAGGAAGGAGAAGAATCCTAGCTCAAATGTCCAGAAAATGTTTTCAACAAAATCATAGAAGAATGTTTTCTTAACTCAAAGAGATTCCTATAAAAGTACAAGAAACATACAGAACACCAAATAGATTGGACCAGAAAACAAAGTCACCCCCTGAGTGGGGAGCATCCTTACCAGGACACAGAGGGAGACAATGCAGACAGTCCTGATGAGACCTGATAGGCTAGGATCAGAGGGAAGGGGAGGAGAACCTCCCCTATCAGTGAACTTGTAGAGCGGCATGGGAAGAGATGAAGGAGGGTTTGGGAGGGGGCTACAGTTGGGATATAAAGTAAATAAACTGTAATAAATAAATAAATAACTAAATAAATAAATAAATAAATTTTTTAAAAGGAATTTGCAGGCAAATGGATGTAACTAGAAAAAAAAATCATTCTGAGTGAGGTAACCCAGACCCAGAAACATAAATATGGTATGGAAAGATAAATATCACTTATAGGGGGATATTAGTTATTAAGTAAATGATAACCATAGACCCACAGAGCTTAGGTAAAGAGGGAAGCAGCTATCTTTCTGAGAGGGGGAAACAGAATAGACTTTATGGGCTGAGTGGTGGTATGTGGGATGGGGAGCAAGTGGATTAGGCCTACTTGGGGAGATGTGGTGGAAGGAGAGAGTGCACAGAGAGGGCTGGAATGGGAGAGGGCACCTGTGGGGTGGGGTGAAAACCCAGTGCAGTGGAAACTTCCTGGAGTGTATGAAGGTGATCCAATTGAGGAATCCTAGTAAGAAGGAATATTGAGCCTCAACTGGCCATCTCTTGTCAACAGGCAAGGCTTCCTATCAAGGAACTGGATTGCATTCAGTTAAGTTATTGGCCAAGGAAGTCACATGGAAATTCCCAATCAACTCAGGCTGTTGCTAAGACAACAGCTTGCTCTCTGGAAACCTACAGTGGGGCCCCATGGCCAAGGACAATACCCAGACTTGAGCAGGTGCCTCTATGGATCCTTCACTCCTACATTCTAGTAACTTTGGTGCAGGAAGGTTCGCTGTTGTTTACCAAAAGAGAAAGGCAGACACGAACCCCATTTTGAGATAAGGAATCCTTACCTGACACTGCTTGGGTAACCAAGAACTAGAGATTAGATAGGCAAGAGACCTAGGGTAACACCAAACACTACTGGTCTGCAAAAAACATCAGTAAAATGACTCCTAATGAGATTTGGCTGTATTGCTAGTTCAGTTGCTCATTCCATCATCATCAGACAGACTTCTTCAGAAGCAGATGTGGAGATATGCCAGACATTATGTGGAGCAAAAGCCTAGATGGGAGGTCTTCATCAAATCCCTCAGAGTTCAGGGAATCCCAAGAAAGAGAAGGTGGGAAGATTGTAAGAGCCAGAAGGGAAGACAGACTAGGAGAAAAAGGCCCTACAAACCAACTAAGCAAGGTCCATATGAGCTCACAGAGACTGAAGAAGCAAGCACAGATCCTACAAGGGTCAGCACCAGGTCCTCTGCACATATGACTATTAGCTTAGTATTTTTAATGGGACTTCTGACCGTGAGGACAAGTGGATCTTTGACTCTTGTTCCTTCCCTTGGTACTCTTTTCCCCTGTTGGGTTGTCTTGTCCACCTTTGATATGATAGTTTTTGCTTCATATTACTCCAGTTTATTTTGTTATGTTTGGTTACTATCTCTTTTCTAATTAGAGACAAAAAGGAAGTGCATCTAGAATAAAGAGGAGGTGCAAAAAAGCTGGAAGCAGAAGAGGGACGGGAAATGATAATCGGGATATATTGTATGAGAAAAGAATATTTTAAATAAAAGAAAAATACCCAATACAATGCAAATGCCACGATTAGTTGTTATACTATATTTTCAAGGGAACAATAATAAGAAATAAATCTATATGTGTTTATTGTAGACATTTTTCCTCAAAGTTTTTGATCTAAGATTCATTGAATCCTTGACTATAGAACCCATCAAGGCAGAAAGTAGTTGCATTTGTTTAGAAGGGAATGGAGCAATCTGTACACCTAAAGAAGCTAAGCAAGAAGAAGAACTATGGGCAAGATGATCAATCCTCATTCAGAAAGGCAAATGGGATGGACATCAGAAGAGGGAGAAAACAGGAAACAGGACAGGAGCCTACCACAGAGGGCCTCTGAAAGACTCTATCCAGAAGGGTATCAAAGCAGATGCATAACCAAACTTTGGGCAGAGTGCAGGGAATCTTATGAAAGAAGGAGGAGATAGAAAGACCTGAAGGTGACAGGAGCTCCACAAGCAAGGCAGCAGAACCAAAAATTCTGGGCCCAGGGGTCTTTTCTGAGACTGATACTCCAACCAAGGACCATGCATGGAGATAATCTAGAATCCCTGCACAGATGTAGCCCATGGCAGCTAAGTGTCCAAGTGGGTTCCCTAGAAATGGGAACAGAGGCTGTCTCTGACATGAACTCAGTGACTGGTTCTTTGATCCAGGGGAACAGCCTTCCCAGCCAGTCCTGATGAGACCTGATAGGCTGGGGTCAGAGGGAAGGGGAGGAGGACCTCCCCTATCAGTGGACTTGGGGAGGGCATGGGAGGAGAAGGAAGAGGGAGAGTGGGATTGGGAGGGGATGAGGGAGGTGGCTACAGCTGGGATACAAAGTGAATAAATTGTAATTAATAGAAAACAAATTAAAAAGAAGGAATGTAGCACACAGTTATTGAAGCTTCAAGTTCCCCTTGGTTAGCATTAGAACTGAACACAGTTCAAAACACTCAAATGCAAAATTCGTTTTGAAGCATGTCTATGTAGATAGGCTCCTTTACAGTCATTTTGTACTGACATTCCCCAGCATGATGTAGCTGCTCAGTTCTTTTACATTTTTCACTGAATTACCTTTCTGGTTCTTGACTCAGCTTAGCAGGTAAACCAGAAACCATTGGAGGACTCCAGCCTGTTGCTGAGAGAATACCAGACTAAGGATGGATAGAATCTTTAAGCTTGGGAATAATCATCAGGCCCTTCAGAGCCACCACCTGTCACCACCACCACCACCATCACCACAACCCCTTCTCCAGGGCACCTCACCCTTAGTGGTCAGACCTATCCAGCGACCCTCCCTCCAGCGTTAGAAGAACAAGCTGTCCCTCCTTTTGACTAAACCCAAATTTGTTCCTGCACTTTAGGTCTAGTCCATTCTGTGTTCTGCACAGTGGTCCTTCTAACTCATGTTTCCTTTGATACTCATTTATTTTGTTAACATGATCAAATCTTTCTTGTTCTAAAATC